TTCTGTATAGGAGCTCAGGAAGAATAATGCGAGCTCATTATTGCCCTGTGGGAAAGATCTGGCAAGCAACACTAGCTACTTTGTGTCTCCCATACAGTTTGGGGGATATACTGATGTCACCTGTGGGACAGGATTTATAGCCTGAACATGGCTAGATTGTATCCTCCTGGATCTCTAGGGAGGGAACACAGGAGGTTCTTTCAGATATATTTTAGGTCTTTGTGTCCACAAATGCCACCCCCACAGCCAGAGGCTATCAAAACAGCTTAACCAGTGAGCACATGACAGGATGTGTATTGTAACACTCACAGCCTCACAAATGGGAATTTAGAATGTTGTGACTCAACAAGATGTGTGGAACTTGGCCACAGAGTGGAGGGTGAGGAGAGAGGCTGGTGGGTGACTGAATGCTGAACATATAGTGTAGGAGAGATCCCATAGCTACCTTGGTTCTGAAACCCAAGATGGACCGGCGTAGAGGCACTATGTGCTCCTCAGTCACGCGGGCCATCTGAGCTACTGCTTTCAACATCACTGCGCTTCTGCTTGGCAACACCCAGCAGGTTAGTGGACACTCCCTCCCCTTTCTGTCTTTCTCTCAATGGCTAAAATACACATCACAAATTGACCGTGTTCACTGTTTAAGTGTACAGTTCAGTAACCTATTGTTTTCAGTGAGGGATAGCAAACATTCCCCTGCAGGTTTTTTCATCACACCCAAGTGAAATCCTGTCTGCATTATATGCCTTTTGCTCAAGTCTCCTGCCCCAAATTCCTGGCATTCACACCCTTATTTTCCGTATTTATGAATTTGCCAATTCTGGCTACCACATGTAAGTATCATTCTCTTGTAGGTGGTTTATTTTATTGGCATAGTGATTTGCATGGTAATTCATGTTGCATGGCCTGTCCATTTCCTTCATTTTGAAGATGGTACATAGACAAAATTTTCCATTCCATCTTACTGAGTTCCACAAAATTTATCAGTTCAACTTAGATTTTAGAAGTTAGGGCTCTATATGGACAGGAGAGAAATATGCATGACCTCATCATGCTTGGAGATGTGAGATAGGCTGTTATTCTTTTTTTTCTTTTTTTCTTTTTTTTTTTTTTTAAAGATTTTTTTTTTATTATTATTTTTTCATTGGAAAGGCAGATATACAGAGAGGAGAGACAGAGAGGAAGATCTTCCGTCCGATGATTCACTCCCCAAGTGAGCGTGACGGGCCGATACTATGCCGATCCGAAGCCAGGAGCCCCCTCTGGGTCTCCCACGCGGGTGCAGGTTCCCAAAGCTTTGGGCCGTCCTCGACTGCTTTCCCAGGCCACAAGCAGGGAGCTGGAAGGGAAGCGGGGCTGCCGGGATTAGAACCGGCGCCCATATGTGATCCCGGGGGTACAAGGCGAGGACCTTTAACCACTTGCGCCACCACGCCGGGCCCTAGGCTGTTCTTCTTAACTGGCAAAGTATCAAATCCACTTGAGCAAGAATCTCAGAGCATGCTCCACATCTGGGACCTTGGGTGGGTTGGAAACTGGGTGGGGCTTCTCCCTCAATACTCGCCTTTTACCTTAGATACAGGAAGGAAACCATATCAAAGTAATAGTCATACCCAGTTTCCTATAGCCCTTGAACCTTTTTTTTTAAGATTTATTACAGATTTATTACAGATATTACAGAGAGGAGGAGAGACAGAGAGGAAAATCTTCCATCTGATGATTCACTCCCCAACTGAGCACAACAGCTGTTGCTATGCTGATCTGAAGACAGGAGCCAGGAACTCTTCCAGGTCTCCCACACGGGTGCAGGGTCTTAAGGCTTTGGGCCATAATCAACTGCTTTAGCAGGCCACAAGCCAGCAGCTGGATGGAAATTGGAGCTGCCAGGATTAGAACTGGTGCCCATATGGGGTCTTGGCATGTTCAAGCTGAGGACTTTTAGCCATTAGGCCATGCCCCCATCCTGCCTTTGATCCCTTTTACCCGAATTAACTATGTAAAGATTGTCAAATCATAATTTTAAAAAGTTAGAAAGATGTGGTTCTTCCAAATCTGTCCTACAAATAATACTTACTGATATTCTCTTGACAGAGCAAAGGAATAGTGCCCACCAAAACTAAAGGCAAATGTGAAGAACATTCCAGTGAAATAACAACAGAAGAATAAATCAATTAACAGCCCATTGCTATAATGATAGGACCAAATTTTCACCATTTCATATTAACAGTGAATGTAGACAGCTTAAATTCATGAAGGAATAACATAAATTAGTAGACTGTTAAAAAATAAAGCTCATTTTTTTGTTTCCTATAGGAGAAACTTCTCACCAACAAGGAACTGTAGAATATATGTTATAGATTTTGATATTTTTAGTTTCATCTCTTCAAAATTTTCTTCTGATCAAATTTTTCAATGATTCAAGGTTCTTGATTCTCTTTTCATTTCTTCAGCAACACATTCATTCAGCATATGTCATTTAACATAATGGCATTGTAAGTTTCTATTTTTTCTTCCTGTTGATTTTATTTTGTGGCTTTTCATTTAAAGGCATATGTAGTAAGTGTGTAATGGAGACTGTCGTTCCAGTGATATGTTGTTTAACTTCATGGCATTGTAATTTCTGCTTTTCTTCCTGTTCCTGGTTTTGTTTTGTAGCTTTCACTTGGTGGGGTGGAATGTATAGTGACTGTGTAGTGGAGCCTGACATGTCCAGATGTGAGGATATGGTGCAGTGTGCATCTCTACATCTATATCAAGGGTGGACTCCCAGGAAAGCTGTTGGATGTGATTTGACATTAGGAAACTGGGACTCTGCCATTGTCCATGCCACAATAATGAACTTGTTACTTTTTATGAGGAACTATGCTGATGTAATCATTTGGGGAACTCAGTAGAAGAGGGAGGATTCAGGAGATGGTACGAAGATCCCAGTTTTATGGAACTATATCTTAAAATGATAATAATATGATAATAGTAAAAAGGTCAACTTTCAAAAATATTTATTTATTTGTTTGTTTGTTTGTTTTAAAATACTCTTACTTAGTTGATTAGGGTATAAATGGTAAAGAGATACAGGAAAATGGGTAAGAGCATTGTTTCCACACTAATATCATTTAGGGTCAGGGGAGAAACAAAGGGAAAAAATCCCACCTAGCCTCCCACCCATCCCAGGTCCCTGATGTGAGGCATGCTCTGAGGGTCCTACTCTAGCAGTTTGGATAGTTCAATACGTCTGAATTGCTGAGAATCTCATTGTTCCAATTGTGATGAAACCTATTCAGAATCCACTGGCAATTTAGTTGGAGGGATTTCCAAAGAAACTTCATCTGACATGATCCCAAACCTGATTCTTGTGTGAGTTTGCCAATACTGGGTCTGGCACAGTCCACCTCCCCAGTCAGCTTATGCACATGCTGGTCATTGCAACTGCTGTGTCAGTTCTATTTCTAGTCCTGTCTTTCATTTGAACCAATGGGTATTGTAGTCCAGCTTGATCCTACCCACTCCACACTCAGTCCTCATGCAAACCAGTGGGAGCTGCAGCCTAGTTGGGTTGATTCCCCAGAACCCCCACCAAGCCTGCTCCCTATCCTGGTTCCTATGCTTGCCAGTATGTAATGCAGACTATGTCAGTCTGTTCCACATCCCATGTAGCTCTCATACTTGTCAATGGTCATTGAAGCCTAGTTCAACACAACCAACACCACTATCCAGCCCACCCACCTATTGGCAGATGCCTTTTTGTCTAACCACCCCTGCCCCATCCTAGTTTTTGTGCTCTCCAGTGGGAGTGGTTACCCACAAGGGAGGTACCTACCATCCCTGCTAGTCCACTCCAATTTATGGATTATGCGCTCTCCATGTGGTTCTGTAGTTTGACTTCACAGAATTAGTCTGCAATGCCAGCCTCTGTCATCTGGTGATGGGGCAGCACCCAATCAATCAACCCACAACCACTCTAATTTGACATACACCAGTGGGAATAGTTAGCTCAATCTGACCCTTCACCAGTCTAGCTCACTTGAAAAAAAAATAAAGGCAAACCTTTAAAAAAAGGATCTAAAGAATTTATTTGAAAAAAATTTTAAATAATTTTAACGAATTAACCTTTTATTATGCAATTCCATAGGCTTTGGAATTTCCCTTATCCCCTCTCCAAATCCCCCTCACTGAGTTACCATATGCTATTCCTGTGGTATAGTTCTTTTTTTATTTTTTTATTTTTTATTTTATTTTTTTATTTTTTATTTTATTTTTGACAATCTTTATATAGGTAATTAGGGTAAAAAAAATTCAAGGGCTATAGGAACGTGGGTATGGCTATCATTTCCATATTGTTTCCTTCATGTTTAAAGTGGGGTATTAAGGCAGAAGGCTCACCCAGTTTCCCTCCCACCCCAGGCCACGGATGTGGAGCATACTCCGAGGTTCTTGCTCAAGTGGTTTTGATGATTCACCAGTTATGAATCATTGACAATCTGGCCACTCCAAGCATGAGAAGGTCTTTGAAGAATCCACTGATTGACATATTCCATTATAGTCTTTGTGATTGAAATATTCCATTATAGTCTTTGTTTGCCCAGTATTTCACTGCCCACGTATACCTGAGGTGGTTGATTCACATTTTGTGCCTTCTGTCTTTTCTTGGTAAGGATTCTGAGTCAGGTATTTTGATTGGGGAGATCACCAAAAAACTTTGAGGTGTTTCCAGACCAGATTCTTGCATGCACTAGCAAGCACATGGCCTGGCACAGTCCATCGCCCTGAGTATCTGGTGGTTGCAATCACTGGGTTGGTTCTGTTTTCAGCCCCAACTTCCACTGGAACAAATGGGTTTGCAGTCCAGCCTGGTTTTGCCAAGCACATACTTGGCCCTCACATAAATCATTGTGAGCTTCAGCCTAGTTGGAGCAACACACAGTAACCCCCATGAAGTCAGCCCCATCTGTGTTTGCCAGTATGTGCAGCAGACTAGCCTAGTTTGTCCCACACCGCATTCGGCTCTCATACATGTCAATGGGTACTAAAGCTTAGTTCCAACTAATCAGCTCAACTATTCAACCCTCACTAATATTGTTGGGTGCCTCTCTGTGTAGCCACCCCAGCCCCGTCCTAGGTTTTGTGCTTTCCCATGGAATGGTAACCCCAGAGGGAGGAGACCACCATTTCCCTCCCAGGCCTCTCCCATTACTGGATTGTGTACTCTCCAGGTAGTTCTGTGGTTTGACTCGACAGAATTAGGTCCCAGTGCCAGCTTCTGCCAGCTGATGCCGTGCCTAAATCCCAACAACCCTCACCCACTCTAATTTTGTTTGCACCAATAGGAATAATCAGCCCAGCCTGGCTTTTCCCTGATCTAGTCCACATGAGGTGCACTAAGCCCTGCTTAGTCTGGTCTGCCCCCATCTCAGCCCACACTCTCCAGCGGGAGTAGCTGTCCAGCAAAGGAACCACTCCTTATTCCCCTGCCCACTCTGCCCCCTCCCTTCCTGGTTCTCACACATGCTGCTTGGGCTCTGTGGTCACAACCGGGACAGGCAATCTCACCTTGCCATTCTGTATTGCGCACCAGTCTTTGTCACGAGCCAACCAGGCTCGACCCACACTGTTCTGGTGCTTGGATTTGCCAGTGGATGATGTGAACTGATTCAGCCTGGTCTTCCCCCGACCCATGCCAGATGTATGCCAGTGAGAAACTTTCCATGGCCTGTTCTGGGCTGTTTCCTATCATGTTTCTTGCGCTTACCTGCCGGGGCTGTGTCCTGCCAGAGGAGTTGCCCAGGCTCCTCCATCAGGACCTCTCCCCAGGCCAGATTTTTCACGTAGCAGGGCATTCATGGGCCAGCCCTACTCAGTTCACCTCCTGTCCTAGCAGGAACAGTGGCTTTTCCTGGCTGGCCTTCAACCCAAACTGGTTCTTTCTGTTGGATATTTCAGCCAAGCCATGACTCACCCATACGCACACAGAGCTCACACATGGTTCAGTAGGGGCTGAGACGTAGCCTAGTCCATCCCACAACTGCTCTGTTCCTCCAGAACACCAGAGGGCATTGGAGTCTGGCCTGGCTCAGTGCATCCAATCCCAGTCCACACTTGGGCCAATGGTACTACAACCATTTCCTGATCAGGATGCAGCCCCATTCCAGGTCACACGCCCCTTGGTGGGAACTTCAACCCAGCTAGGGTTGTCCCCTTAGCTCCTCATTGGGCCTGTTCCCAGCCATAGATCACGCGCATGCCAGTAGTTGCTCTGACTCAGCTTGGCACAGTCCCTCACCTGTCCTGACCTCTGCCTTAGACACTGTGGCTTATCATTCCTAAGCCACATGCAGACCAGTAGGTGCAGGAGCCTAGCTTGGCATGACCTGTGCTCCATCCTCATTTCTAGTTTCACTTGTGGGCTAAGGTTTGCTCAGTCCTGCGCAGTACACCTTGTTCCATTGCCAATTGACACATTACTCAGATGTTGGAGCTACTTTCCCCAGCTTGTCTGACCCCTAAGTCTGGACTACATGTTCTCCAGTGGGAGCTATGACTCGTCAAGGAAGTTTCTCATGTTCTTCCACTCCCAGACCCAGTTTTCATACATGCCATGGGGTTTAGGCCAGGTTACGGCAAAGTCCGGCCTTCCATTTGGCTTTGCATGAGCTCCTGGATGTTGCAGTCCCACCCACCTCACACCCTATTTAAAATGCGCATTTGGGTGCTACTTCCCTGACCAGTCCAGACTATTGTCAGTTCCTTTATCTGTGATTCATGGCAGATTCCTTGGTCACACCTAGCTTAGTCTGTTTCCACTCCTACTCTTGGGCTAACCAGGGGCTAAAATTTTCACAGGGTTTGGCAACCCCCCCCCCCCCCAGAATATTCCTGCGGATATGGTTCTTGAGTGCTAGTTATTGTCATGCTCCTGTCTAATGTGACCCTTCTCCTGATCCATCATCATGTCGGGTAAGTGGATATGATTCTGCTAGACAAGCCCTGAGCCTTAGTTTTTGCATGGACTGGTGTTCAGTGGTCAGCATTGTACAGTGATTACAAGTTCTTCAAAGGAAAGTTTACTATCATTGGGAACCTTTATGATTGCTTCATGTCCTAGAAGCACAATGGGTTCAACCTGGAGCTACCTAGGCAGCAATTCAAAGAACCAAAACCCCAGAAGTTTCAGCCAGGTGGCTAGTGTACATTTGGTGCCAGGTACTACCTGGCTGTGACATCTGGAATTTTGGGTTTTTCAATTGCTGTTTAGGTAGTACGTGTGTCTTGCATCTGGGATCCAGGCATGAGATGCCCTGACCTGAGACCCACCAGCAGCTATGAGTCTGTTGGAAGTTTCAACTTCTAGGCCCAAGGTCATGCCCCTCCCCACCCCATTCACCACCGAATGAGGGCGACAGGTGGGCCCTGGACCTGCCCAGTAACTAAGACTTCCCCCCTCAGTTGGTGTACTCATCCAGAATGCAGTTCCAGGAGCCCATGCTGGCCCAGGGACAGCTCACCATGTGCACGTGGTGGCTGGCCTTTGGGATTCAGGCATGAGACACCCTGATCTGAGACCCACTTGTAGTATAGTTCTTCATAACCAGTCATATATCCATCTTTGTAGGCATGGACACTAGCAAGAATCCAACATCCTATTGTCATAATGTATTTCACAATTTAATTGGTAGCCCATCTTTAGTGTGGCAGTATAGATGCATACTGCATTGTATCCTCACATCTGGATATGATAGTCTCCATTACACAGCAATTATTCATCTCCCTAAATGAAAAGCCACAATACAAAATCAGGAAAAAAAGAAAAATAGAAATTCACAAAGCCACGAAGTTCTCAAGATGTTTTGATAGTTCAACAGCTCTTTATTGTCAATATGCCACTCCAATTGTGATGAAATCTCTCCATAATCTATTTGCTTCTATGGTCCAATGCATAATTTCCAACTGCCCTGATATTCACTCCCAACTCTTTGCTGCACTAGTTGAATGATTTGTTTTGTTCTCTGTCTTCTATTATTGTGCTTGGTGTCCTCTGCAGGTTCCAATATTCACTTGAATATGCTGTCCACTGTTCCATCTAATCCACTGAGGGGGCCCAGCTTTGGCACATGCACTCCATGGTGAGGCCATAGAACTTACATTTCTCTTCATAATTGGAATTCTGAGTCCAGCTTCAGTTAGAGGGATATCCAAAGACTGCAAGGCTTTTGACAAAAAATAAATAAATAAAAAGAAAGAAAGAAAGAGAGAGAGGAAGAGAAAGAAAGAAAGAAAGAAAGAACGAAATAGAGAGAGAAAGAAAGAAAGAGAGAGAAAGACAGAAAGAAAGAAAGAAAGAAAGAGAAGGAGGAAGGGAAGGAGGGAGGGAGGGAGGGAGAGAGAGAGAGAGAGAAAGAAAAGAAAGAAAGAAAGAAAGAAAGAAAGAAAGAAAGAAAGAAAGAAAGAAAGAAAGAAAGAAAGAGAGACAGAGAGACAGAGAAAGATACAAGCAGGAATCATTAACCATAGATGTTCTTGTTATGTTAATCCTGGAAAAGACATACTTAACAATGTACAAGTATTGTTGAAGATATTAACTTTCAAGAATCTCATAGTGCTAAGATGTTACATGTATACAGGACAGTTTTACCAGGAACTGGAGACCCTAAGTGCCTCTCATCCCATCTTGCTCCTACATTTTCAGAGAAATGGACCCCAACTGCTTTTAGGAAAAAGGGGCATCATCACCCACTCTTAGCTATTTCCTGCTGAGAGGGGGAGATGTTGGGTAACAGCAGCAGTAGGAGTCCATCTAGTGGTTTCTGATAGAAGATAGAAGTCATCATGTGTTTGATGTACATCCTGGCACTTGAAAGACTTCTCTTTTTTGAAGTCTAGATAACAAAAGATAACACAGTTATACCTCTTCCCAGCGTAGCAGATTGTGAGTTCGGTTAGTAGTTTGAATATTTGAGCTCCAGAGCTTAGATGCAAAAGAATTGTTAGGGTTCAACCTTAAATATTAATTTAAGACTTTGAACTAGATTTGTATCAGTCTAAATTAACTCCTTTAAGTCTCAAATTTTGGCTCCGGCTCTGGGTCCCCACCCTCCCTCACAATGTCCAATAGGATCGCTCCAGTAACCCCTCAAAACAAATGAACAAACATACAAACGAACAAAAAATCTAGAATGGACAGACAACAACAAGGAAAGCGTAGAATCAGACAGGAAATGGCCAGTGTGGATTCAAACATGCCTTACTATGTGGGACACAAAGATTAGTTACGCCTCACTGGGGTATTGAGGATTTCTCTGCACACCCCTCCTAAAAATAAATAATGTTCTGTACTTAAACTGATGACACATGTCTTACTAGAGTTATAAGCCAGTTCAGACCATCCAAAAAACAACCAAGTTCAGCAAAATCATGCTTCAACACTATAAACAGCTAAATAATAAAATGAAAATAGACATAGGACAGCTGGATAGTAATCTATACCCATTTTGAGGTGTATAGAACCCAGTTGAATATAAATCAAAATTGAAATGTCTATGAAGAAGTCACAGGATGTAGTTAAGACCCGCATTTTCCTATTAACATATTGGTTAATCAATACGATGTCAATTAATGCCATAATGTTGTAAATTGTTGTTGATGTTATATTGGGGCTTTTAATTGATTGGGACAATACTTTACTGGCTTTACTTCAGACCAGAGATGGTCTCACCAAGAAATTGTTAAACCCACTAGGATAATAAGACACTGGTCTTTATGCTTGGTAAATACTTCCAATGAAAGAATCTCAACTGAATTTGAACTGTGGTAATGCAACAAGGTGGAGAAGTCCACCATGGGGAGGGGGTTTGAGGAGGGGTGGGGGAAATCCCAGGGCCTATAACACTGTATCACATAATGCAATAAAATTTTTTTTAAAAGTAAGCAGTGTGTGAAGAGGATTGGTGTGTTTTATTCCAGAGGATTCAATTCCACAAAAGAATTTGGATGAGTTGCTCCTGGGAAGAATTCTGCCCAATATGTACCTGTCTGAGATCAATATATTGTTTCGCTGCTGGGGTCCGTGTGGTAGGTGTGGATGGCACGAAAGTGAAGAGAACAGCTCCCCTGTTTGGCAGGGCCCGGGGGAGCTTCCAGCTGTTTGGCAGGGCCCGGCATATTTCTCTCTGACCACCCTGACGCTGTTTCATCCCCTGGCTGCATGGACACTCAAGCACCCCACTAAGAATTCTGTATTCTTTTGAGGCATTGTTGTTTGCCATTGTTTCCAGCAATGTGAACTTGAGAATTAACGTCATGGATAGTGTTTTGGTGAATGGGCCTTTGACAATTTACACACAGGAGCACAATTAAGCCCATGCCATTTTTGGACACCTTATTGGGTACTTAACCAATGTCTTAGAATTTGGCCCAGACATGTAGCACACCTTCTGGGAAGGGGCTTGAAAATATCCTAAATATTAATGGAAGTGATGAGAGTGAGAGCTGAAACTGCTATGGCAATAAATATAGTTATTATTATCTCAAAGGTTAGCCTGCCTTTGCAATTTTTGGGAGCCTAGAAAATGTAATTTTTTAGCCACTTTTATAATTTTTAACTAGCAGAATTAAGGATGTTTATTAACAAAAAAAGCTTTTGATTATTGCTTTATTGTTTATGGGGTTGTAGGAGTTTATAGTTGTAGGGGGATTCAACATTTGAAGTTTCTGTTTTAAATTTTAGGTTTTTCCCTCATAACCTATTTTCCCATTAAGTGATGGGAAAATTGTAGAAGCAGAAATGTGGTGGAAAAGTACCACTAATTAGCAGGTAATTGCATGTGTCTTGGCCTTGGAGTCCTGGCTGTTGCTCCATGGCTGCTGTTGTAGAATAAACAATAGCTTGCTTTGAAGAATATGAACACAGCATTTTGCAAAATTATCTTTAGGAACACCTGCCTAACCTTGAAGTGCAGACGGAGTGACCAAATATCTGTACATGCCCCCTTAATTTTGAAAAGAAAAAAAATAGAATAGTTACTTGTGCAGAAACTTGAGAAGGGTTTTGAGTAAATAAAAAGGACAGCTTCTTCCTGAGCTGTTGTGAGAATGCACCAAACATCTGTGTCTGTGTCTTTCTTTATCATTGACTCCATGCACCCTTCCTGAGCTCTGAACTCGGTTGGAGCTGAACTCAGGCATTTCACCATGCTTTTTTGTCCTCCTCTGACTGATTTTTGGTAGGTGTTGTATGAAATCATAAACATGTTTGAAGGTAGTATTTCATACATGCTAGACTCTAGAATGGAAAGAATCTGACAATGTTTAGTACATATTTAGTACATGTCTCTGTTGTGACATTTGAATTCATTACCATTCCTTAGCCTTTGTCCATCAAATCTCCCTGAGATGTTGTATATAATTGGAAACCTGGATGCTTTTTCTTGATTGGCACTTCACCTTCATGGGAGGTAAAAGGTGTGTAAATAGTTTGACACACTAATTATATACACACACTGAGTATTCTTATGTTTATAGTGCTTAATCCAATCCTCTTCGTAAAGGTGCTGTTTATTCTAGTGACACAAGACTATAAGTTGTAAGAGTCAGTCTATGATATAACACGATTAGCCTCCAGTATTTCCAGAATCTCATATGGGCAACAGCATAAGTACCTGCTGTTCCACTTTTGATCCATTTCTCTGCAAATGGAAAAGCAGTGGAAGATGGCTCAAGTATTCATAGCCCAGATTCATGTGGGAAATCGAAAGGATACCGCTTACTATCTTTAGTGTGGCCCAATTATGGATATTACAACCATTTGGGGAGTGAGCCAGTAGGTGGAAGATTCTGTGTGTCTTTCCTCCTGTCTATCCTAACTCTATTAAATGTTCTAAATCTTGATATATTTTAAGCATTGTTTTTATGCAAGGTTTGAATATTGCTTTCATGTTTTAAGTACAAATATAGTAATTTGAAAGTCATGGTTTATGATAGAAGAAGCAAGTTATTCAAAATTACTTACAGTAATTTCAGACTACTCCACAAGATACAGGAAGCAGGAAGTTAGAAGGCAAATAAAGTAGCCAGGACACAAACCAGCACCCAAATAAGATTCTAGTGCATGGAAGATGAGAACTTTAGCCATCA